AGCAGTGGTTGGGGGCCTCATTTATCACGATAAGCCACTATAAACCCAAGGTTGGCGCAAATGGTGTGTGATACCTTACCCCTACCACCTATCAAAGACCTTTAATTTTATTATGTCTAAAAATTTAGCTCTTTTAGACCTAGAAATCTGCATATGTAGATCATATAGTACAGTCATCAAACTTGGAATTTTAGTACTGTCAGCAAAAGTGAAAAGCATGGACCTTTTTTTTTTTTAGACAAAAAAATATTTATGGCACTTTTGCTGCAGTCAATAAAAATCCTGGATCCGCCTGTGGATAGGGCTCTAACACTAAAAGAATTAAGTTTGGCAATAATATATAGTGATGTGGTTGCTAAATAATTAAGGTATCCATTACAAACCAAAAGTTAAACTAATGTCACTATTTAAACCACTTAGCTCAAAAAAATGAATGAACAGTGCAAAAATGGTTCTTAAATCTTTTTTACATGACGAGTTTTTAGTTTTGTTCAGAAAAATTGAATTCTGGCCCACTGTGAATTGTTAGGAGTATGGATATTATTCCAGTTACCCCAAGTATGCTTCTCCAGACCTCAAGTACAAAAGAAAAGCTAGGTTCCAAAGCAAAGTTTTGGTATGGCTTGTAATTAGTCCTAAAGGTATGACTCGACCATTAATCAAACAATATGGCTGTTCTGATAACGAAAATGCGCCCAATAAAAACTGCATTGAAAATATGTTGATTTCATTTATACGTGAACAATATACTGATGATAAATATGTTTTTGGCCTGATCAAGCTTCCAGTCATTGTGCTAAAAATGTTATGTCACCTCAACCAAGAGAATTTATGCCAGTTCTACTACTACAAGCACCACAAACTACACTATCTCAGTCAATAACTTTGAATCAACACCAATAACATCTAGTATCAGCATATGCTGTATAGCACCAGCTCCCAAGTCAACTTCACAGTCAACTCACCCAAAAGCAACCCTTTAATATAACTCCGGCTATTCAAAAGGAAATTCAAAGTTATGTTTAAAAACAATTGCAATTTGTTCAATCACTTGCCACAGCTTTGCAGCAAATGTCTTGCGTCCAACACAGTGACACAAAAATACAAAAAAATGTAGGTGTGTGAAGATACGAAAGGGAGAGTCTCAGTAAATAAAAAATATTTGAAATATTGAACGATGCTGAAAACCAAAAAGCAGCAAAGCAAGCTAGGAACCAACATAAGCTTGACTTTGATGATGGGCAGCAGATAAATCAATCAACAAAAGCAACTCTAACAGCATCAACAGCAGCAAAAGCAGCAAACTAAGTCAAGTGTAAAAATTGCCATAATATTTTGAGCAAAGCTTCAGCAAGTCAAAGTATTGAATGGTATTAGTGCAAAAATTCAAACTGCAAGGTTTAACTTTGTCAAATGTGCATTTCAAAGATATATATAAAAGGCACCGAGTTTTATTGCTCTAAAAAAAACAGCTTTAAAGCAATAGAACTCAACTTGTTTCTTAGCGCAGTTGGCTTGTTCGTAGAGGTTTTGTGGTTACAACCGTCTCGTAGAGACGGTTGTAACCACAAAAGTAGCCTCCTCAACCGTATTTGCCTTCTCGGCCCTGGGGTGGTAAATAATTAAAAAAAACTCAACTTAACCTCCAGAGACTGGAGGTTGAGTTAAGATTTAAAGATCCAACATCATCACATAAATGAAAATAGATTATTTATTATTAGGTTGTTTTTTTAATTGTTATTATTTTTTGTTTTTTTTTTATATTTTTTTTAATTTATATATTTGTTAAACACCCATTATACAAGTAAGGTAAATTAATTTTATTTTTCTCAGGATTTTCTTTTAAAAGCGACTTTTTGTAAGAATCAGACAGAGCTCAATAGTGACCTTCTTCAAAATTGCTAATTTTTTTATTTGTTGTTCTATTCATACTAGTAATTCAATTCCAAAATTTCTTCGAAAAATATCAATTGCTTCTCTAGGTATTAGATGTCAAAGTTTGACTAAAATTTTTGAAATAATGATTAAATGGTGTTGATGGCATGTTTAAACTCCAAAAAAAAGTAAATACTTTACAATGAATATTTCACTTGATTATTGTTTATTAGCTTATTAGTTTATTAGTTTATTAGCTTTATTAGTTTATTATTATTCAGACCAAAAATTAATAAAATAGGTAAGGAAAATTTTTTCCTTGACTAAATATCATGCTTCAAAAAATGATTTTTTTGTCATTTTTGATCTTTGTTTTCTTTCAAAGTTGCGAATTTTAATTTTTTATTATAAATCTTTACCTAGTTAAGTACCTAAAAGTATAAAAACACCTATGGGCAAGTAAAAGCTTAGCCGCAAAATCCAACTCAAAAAACAAAATTCTAATCTTTTGACTCATTGTTTGTGACACGATTATGGTTAAAGCCCTGGGTTCACTGTAAACTTCAATTTAAAAAAACTTGCATTTACCTTTAATCTACCTTATTTATTAAAAATACCTTTGGGGTATTGCAATAATTCAGAAAAAATAACATATAAATAGTATAAATGTTTTCTTCTTCTATATTTATTTATAAGCGCTTAAATGCAGTATGTTTCTTTGTTACTCTATCATATTTTTTGAGTATAATTTTTACTCCGAATATGTTTCCTGATTAGGGTAGAGCGGGGCATATCGAGACAGTTGTGTGTAAAACCTTATCTGCTAAAAAAAAAAATTTTTTCCAAAAATTTTTTTGATTAAAAATATAAAATTATTGTGCTTCATAATTGTACAAAATAAAAAAAAATTTTAGAAGTACCGAAATGCATTCAAAGTACCAAAATGCATCAGTGAAATAACGAAAATCGAAAAATGCTTATTTTCTTAAGCAATACAACAACAAAAGACTCATATTAAACTGTTGCTAACTTGCTATATTTATAAAAAGTTTATATTTTTTAGACTGTATTTTTTATCCTCTTTTAAAATCTGGTTTTAAAAAAATATCTGGAATTGAACATTTTGAATAGTTTTAATTTCAGTAAAATAAATTTAGTGGCGCATATCGGGACACCAAGTCAATTATATAATGGACTATATTACTACCATTTTGTCTACAGTTCAATGATTTTATTTGAAGTTAAAAATAATAATTTTATTATTTAGAAAACCGATATTAGTATTAAATTCAAATAAATTGTTTTTTATATATGATAACTTTGATTATTAAATAGTGTAAATAACGATAGTAAGAAATTATATAAGAAAGATCAATCATCCAAAATGGGATGAAATTCAGTTTTAGCTGTGAACAGAAAGTAACTTAGAATTTCTTTTTGTTCACATCTAAAACTTAGAAAAAGTTGCTGATGCATATGGCATATTTTAAATTTACATTGGCATATCATGTTTATAAGCCAGCTCAACATAAATGTTACCAAATAATATATTTATTATTTGGTAACATTTTTGGATATTTACTTGTGTGATTTATGAGATTCATATTTTTTGTCTAATTTTAAATTTAGTAGCAGTTACCAATTTAATAATATATTCTAGTTTTGTTCTACTTAAATTTTAGAACAATTTCTTAAGTTTGTTTATTTAAGAGTGTTTTATAATGAAACACAAAAAGTTTTTTTTTATTTTAGTTGTTATTCCTTTTTTTGCGGTGTATAGGCGTGTAATTTGTATGGGTAATTTACTTTTTGAGATTTTAATGTTTGAACATGTTCAAATTATAAAATGCATTCATTTTTAATCACATTAAAAGCTTTATAATAAACAAATAAGGGCTGCTTTTTTACTGTCCTGCTTTGCCCCACCCGTTTGCAAAATGTAGAAATTTTGCTAGTTTAGAGTTTCGTTACTTAGGTTATCATAACTTATTTTTAGAAATTTTTTTTTGTTGTTTTTTAGTTTTCTTATATCAATGAATTTTTGGAAAATTATAAAAAACAGTGTTAACTATAATTAGTTTACCCTAGTTGCGGTAAACTAATCATAGTTAACACTGGTTTTATTTCTTTTTGTTTCTTAAATGTCTCTATATGCCCCGTTTTACCCTATGATTTTGAGTATTATTATTTTATATTATAATAAATCACTTTTATTTTGTGTTTTTTTAGTTAGTTAAAATTCTCAATAACTTAAAAAAAAAGAATTAAAATCTTTTTCCCATAAAAAAAATTAAAACTCTTTCACCCGCTTTTACTTTGTTTGTTTTTTTTTGTGCATATTTAAAAAAATAATAAAACATTTAGAAAAGAATTTTTCTTTATTTATGGATTAATTTAGTTTACTGGTAATAATGAAATTTAAATTCTTATTGAACATTAAAGCATATTTACTTATTATATCTCGTTTTTCATACCTTTAAATAAAAGAGTTTTTACGATAATAATCTGAGTTGATTTTCTATACAGTTCATACCCGTAAAATAAATTGAAGTATCTTACTGCAGAGGTTAGAAACGATATTAAAATCCTATTTCCGCCTAATGATGCCTTTTTTTATGCCACCTAGTTTACCTATTTTAGGTAACCTACCACCTATTTTAGGTACCTTTTTTTATGCCACCTAGTGTGGCATAAAAAAGGTACCTAAAATGTTTTCGATTGAGTAACTTCTCTATATTTCTATGTAAAAAAAATATATATAATATTAATAAAAATATATAATAGCAAGGGAGGGTGGTTAAAACTTAATTAAAGAATTTAAATATTATAAAAAAGATAAAAATTAATAAATCAGACGATTTTTAAAAATTAATTAACTAAATTTTTTTTTTTTTATTCATTAAAATCAATGCTTTTGATAAAATAAAAAATCAAGTTTTAGGAGATATCGAGAATGAGATAGTCAAATTGCGTAAATACTCGCTGTCTCTTATATCCCCACCCCCTTCCCTTCCTTGTAGCCATTCCTACATTTTTGAGTAACTCTCTGCTTTATGGAAAAACCTTTATTTTGTTCTTAAAATTTTCTCATTTATGCATTTTGTCTTTAGTTGCTTTTTTTTTAGATTTTTTCCACCACAAATGATAAGTTATACTGCTTCATTGGAAATTTGGCTAAAAAAGACCTTCCAGACATATTTCTAAAGAATGTTTTGCTTGCGTTAGACATTGCCATGGAAAAAATTGGCGCACAAGGGTCTGACAAACAAGAGCTAATTAAGTTACTCGAAACGGCAGTTAAAAACGTAAAAAAAAACGTTGATTCTGCTGCAAACTTGAAAAATCAAGCAAAATCACTCTCAGATGCAAGTCTCAAATTTTTTAATGATATTAATTCGGAGCAAGAAGAACTTTTCGAAAAGTTTTTACAGCTTAAAAGCGACAAAAGTTTTTCCGAGGTCTCCAGAAATGGGGAAGAAAATGATCAACCAAACCCTAAGAAGATTAAACACTAAAAAAATTATATATATATATATATATATATATAATTTTTTTTTGTTGGGTTTTATGTTTTAAACTTTTACTTTTTTATTCATTTTTTATGATATTTAGTATTATTTTTTATTATATTTTTTTAAAATTAAGTTCCATTATTTCCTAATTTGCAAATTTTTTTAATTATTCATATAAAAATGCTGCATACAATATTTAAAACTATATAACATTTAGTATTTAATAATTGTATTTCAAAATATGAGATAATAAGTTTCCTAACTGCTTTTGTGGCTAAATAATTTATATATATATATATATATATATATATATATATATATATATATATATATATATATATATATGTATATATATATATATATATATATATATATATATATATATATATATATATATATATATATATATATATATATATATATATATATATATTGTTGTTGTTGGATTTTATGAAGATTGTTTTAAACTTTTACTTTAAGTATCATTGTTTTTTTGATTTTTACTTCAAATTGTTTTGTTTTTTTTGTGTTTTTTTTTACTGTTTGCTTTTAATTTTAAAATATTGTAAATGGTTGATTTTATTCACCATAAAAAATGTTTTTTTATGATATTATTTTACATTGAACTCCATTATTTGTTTATTTGCGGTATTTTCAATTATTCACGCAAAAATGCTGCATAAATAATGAAAAATTTATAAATATTTTTTTTTGTTTATTACAATATGTATGATAAAGAAATTTTAACAAGTCATGATATCGGTAAGAAATAAAGAATAAAAATAAAGAAAAAAAAAGACTTGGTCTTTTTTAAGTATCTTGTCACAGAGAGATCGCTATTGAAGAAATTACCACACTTTTTTTTTTTTTTTTTTTCAATTGTTTTTTCCTTTTGTTATGATGTCTACGGTTTGCATCAATCAAATTACTGTCTTCCTAACAGCTCACTCATACAATAATGTCCACAATTTTCTAGATAAATATCTTGCGCACACTGTCGAAATTAATCACTGAATCTCATTAATCGCTATATATAATTCACTATATATCACTGAATGTAATTAATATAATCTCATTTCCAGACTGAATATAATACATTTTCAGATTGTTCATAAGGTTGTGCAGAAGGACCTAATTAGCCATACAATGGTTATCGTTGTGTGTTAGGCCAAATTACCAAGTTTCCGTTTACGCTTCTGACAAAATTAAACGCCAAGCCACTGCCAAATGATGGTTGACCTCCAAACGTAGCCTACATACATATATTGGCAGATACTCATACAACTATTTTTTTTCTTTTATTATATATATATATATATATATATATATATATATATATATATATATATATATATATATAGACACACACACACACACACACACACACACACACACACACACACACAGAGTATCGGACAAAACAAATGCAACCAAATAATGCTAATTTAGTTTCTTTATATAAAGTGCTGCATTTTTTCAATATAGAGTAATAACTATGTAACTGTTTAGAGACAACGTTTCTCAAGTTTTATTCATCACAAAAATCATTACTATAAAAAAGGTTGGCTTCCTTCCGGACAAAACAAGTGCAACTCCACAAAATGTTGACCAAGTTGTATTTCGCTTAAGCCAAGCCTTCGAGGCATAGATTGGATCAGGTGATCAATAAAACTTTGTGGAATCGCTGCCCAGGCCTTTTGGATTTGTTCAAACAGTTGATCCTTATTACAAACACCTTAACGATTAATTCTGCGGTTGACGATCTCCCAGAGGTTCTCGATAGTGTTGAGACCCATAGTGTTGAATCCATCACCGATAGGTAGTTGTCTTGAAACCACTGCTTGACTACTTTAACAGTGTGTTTTGGATTGTTGTCTTGCTGCAAAACCCATTTTATTGGCATATTCCATTCAGCACGAGGTAACATAACATCTTTCTGGATATTTTTATACATGAAATGGTCCATTACTCCATCGATTCGATGTATTGGACCTAGATCGTTAGCAGAAAAACACCCCCAGACCATTACATTGCCACCACCATGCTTCACGGTCTTATAGCAGTAATGTAAATCGAGGCGTTTTCCAGCCGGTTGACGTACACAGCAAATGCCATTGCTCCCAATGATGTTGAACTTCGATTCATCACTGAACAGGACAATTCGCCATTTCTGCTCATTTCAGTCAGATATGTTGCAAACATATCTGAGTCTTTTCTTCTAGTTCTCTAGTGAAATCAGCGGTTTCTTTGCAGGGCGTGAAGAAAACACTTCGGCTTCAACAGCACGTCATTTGATTGTTCGGTCCGATACATGCAATTCTAATTGCTTTTGTATCTCGACTGATGATATTCAGGGATCCTTCTTAGTGGATCTGACGATCATAGAATCCTCTTTAGAATTAGTGGAACGCGGTCTTTGTTATCTGCTGCCAACTTCCCCGTAAAACGATATTTGGAACATAGTCTTGATACAGTCCATTTTTTCACGCGATATTTATCACAAATACTTTTTTGTGACATACCACTTACGTAATCGCCAATAATTTTCTTTCTTAGTTCCAATCCAAGACTGTCGGTAGACATTTTTGCACTTGAAGTCATACAAAGAATAAAAATAAGTAATCACACTAATCAAGGCTTACCGTGTTACATTATGATGATAAAATAATGCTCTGTGGAACACAACATCTTGGTTGGATTTGGACTGTATTTATGATCAATGCACAAGTGTTATGACCGCAAGCGGATGTTTCTTAAGAAACTCGTAAAAAAAAAAAAAAATATTCTGTTAAAAATTATATATACATTTTATTTAATAAAAATAAGATGATGGATAAATTATTATCAATGCAAAGTATTGAGAAAATGGTAGCTGATATGCTCAAAAATCAAAGTAAATTTATTTTGGAGAAAGCAAAACAACTTTTAAAAGACCAAGAAAAAAACTTTGCTATTATTACTTCTGCAAACATGAAAATTTAACGGAGAGAATAAATGAATTTTAACGGAGAGAATAAATATACTTGAAAAAGATACACATAAAGCATAACAAAACTAACGATATTGCAAATGATTAGAACGCAACACGTCTAAAGGTAGTATTCTTGGAAAGCAAAATCAATGAGATTAAAAAATTTATTTCTGCGCAGGATGAAATAATTTCGTAAAAGTTTGAAACAGTGAAATGGAAAACGAAAAAAATTAACATTGAAGTTAAAGATAAAAGTGAAGTATTAAAAATCAGGAACAAACTAAGGGTGATGGAAGATCGTTCGCGTAGGAACAACTTGAGAATTGACGGAGTAAAAAAAAGTGAAAATGAGTCATAGATTGAATCCGAATGTAAGGTGCATAAATTGTTAGAAGAATGCCTTGACATTAAAAATATAAAAATCGAAAAAGCACATCGTTCGGGACCGAGAGATAGCAAGAAACACAGAACAATTGTTCTAAAATTATTAAACTATAAAGACAAAACTGAAATACTTAAAAAGTTGTGTAAACTCAAAAGTAAAAACGTCTTTATAAATGAAGACTTCAGTACTGAGACTACAGAAATAAGGAAGGGTTTGAGAGAACGCATGAAAAAAGAAACGGATTCCGGCAAATTCTCGGTCATATCCTACGACAAACTAGACATTTGCGATTGGACTGCGAAGAAACGAGATGCTGTTTCCACTGAATCTATATAAGTATTCATATATTTTTTATTTTAACTAGTTTTTCCCTAATCTTAATTTTTATATTTTAAAATGGATGATAATTTATTAATTAAACTTTGTGATGAAAATGTCACAATTTGTGATAATGACGTCACTAATTATTTTAACCAAAAATCATTTTTTTAATGATGTCACTTACTTTTTTAACTAAAAATCATTTTTTCAGAAAGCAAATACTATTCAATTTCTGAATCTAATTTTTATCCTCAACAAAATAAAAACACATTTTCAATCTTAAACATTAATATTCGAAGCCTAAAAAAAAATTTAAAATATTTTAAACTTCTAATGCACGAAATGCTTACGTAATTTTTTAACAAAAGTTAATAAAAAACAAATGCATGTTTACACTTAGTCCGGTGACCTGAGTATTAATCTTTTAAACCATGCGTCAAATAACAGCGTTAAATGTTTTGTAAATACTCTTTTACAAAATAATTTCATTCCAACAATAACAAAGCCATCAAGAACCACAACAAGTTCCTCTACCCTACTGGATAACATAATTACTAATAATTTTTCTAATAGCTGCTTTAGTACAGGTATAATAAAGACTGACTTGACAGACCATTTCCCCACATTTCTTATAACAAAAAGCATAAGCCCTGATAATATTCCCACAAAACATATTGTTTCCTAATGAAAACTCCATATAACAATTTCGTAACCTTACGTTAATTGGAAGCTTGTTCTCCAATCACGTGATGCTAACAATGCTTAAAAACTTTTTATAGCGCAATTTTGTAAACAATACAATAAAGTGTTCCCTGTAAAAAAGTTTTATATAAACTCAAAAGGTTTACTAAAATTGTCAAAAAAAAGAAAAAAACAAAAACTTTATGAAAAAATTTCTAAAAAAAAAAACATATTCAAATGAAGCAAAATATAAAAACTATAAAATATATTTGAAAAATCAAAAAATACCCTAAAAAATTATATTATTCGAAATTGCTAGAAAAAGCAAATGGAAATACTCAACAAACTTAGAATGCTATTAAAGAAATAATTGGAAAAAACATATATAAAAATAACGCTCTGCCAAAAAAACTTGAATCAATTTATGATAAAGCACTAATAGCTGGAGAATTTAACAGTTTCAATTTTAAATTAGCTCTAACATTAACATTAATGTTAGCTCTAATTTAGCAAGAAGTATTCCTCCAACTTCTTTTACATTTGATTCTTATCTAACAAATTCTAATAAAAAAATGAATGAGTCAAAGCTAGATATATGTGAGTTGCGGACTGCATAACTAAGCTTAAAAAGTAACAAAAGTGCAGGATTGG